TGTAATACAATCCACACTGACAACCCTCTTTAAAAGCACAATTACAATAAAGAAGTTTACTCCAGATGAGTAACTCCTCATCTCTGATTTTGCAATGCAGAGGTTGCTGGACAATATCTGTCTGTGAGGAATGGAATCTTAAATTAATAACAATTCCATTTTCTCTCCATATTTACAGAAAAAAAAATTTGCACTGATAGTCTTCCTTCATTTTAAGATATTCTTCCAGGTTATTTTAAAAAGTATGGTCACCATACACTAGGAATGAAAATTTGTTTTCTGGTACCATAGGGAAAAAAAATATGTTCAGCTTGTTATAGTACTTATAAAAATAGAAGACGGAAGTGTTAATGTGCCTGGGACTGTTACTGTGACATGCACATACTCTGCAAATATGTCCAAGGATGTCTGGGGGGTTTTATTGCACTAACAAGATAATTTAATCTAAATCACAAGCTTTTATTTTTCTTTCTATACCAGCTTTTTATGTTCAATTTTTCTTTTATATCTAACCTTTTTTTGCTCTATTAATATTTGCCTTTTTAATGAGAGTCAGTTGCTTACCTTGTGGGTGTCCCGTGATAAACTTTCTCTCTCTTTTACTCATTTTGTGTAAACTCTAGAAATAGGTTTTCCTCCCCATTTGAATTTTCTAGAGTTCTGGTAAACTAATGTACACATCTTCAGTGAGTTTGAGGAACAGACAATATATCACGACCCAATTTAGAATCAGTGGCATATGAATAACATATGAAGTCCCATTAATTATCGCATATAAAATACAATTGAATATTATTGTTACTGTTAGTGTGTTTGTCCAAGCTGTATGCAAGGATTCTCAATTATGCCAACAGACTATCATTAAAAGGCTGCGTAATGCTATAAATAGATGTACTATAACTTACTCACATAAATCATTGTACCACAGTTTCTTCCTACATTTTTTCATTCAGTTAAAGTTATTATCCATTCTGTAAAAGACATAAGTACATTGTTGCGTAGCATAGCATACATTAGCATTTTAAAGATATGACTGGTTGAAGGTGAATTGGTTGACAGCTGTGAACAGTATGAATGGAGATGCACCCAGGAGAAAAGGAAGTAGCAGCTCCAGAGTGTAATATGTCTGGAATGCAAGCATGGATGCAGTAGGTGAAGCTCATGAAGCTCTGATGACTGCTAAGTAGAACCACATGTTTGGGATTCCTAAAAATGCAGGCAGCTGTAAGATGTGCAAAATTTATGATATACTGTCAAGGACATACTTTAAAAAAAAAAAAAAAATCAAGTCAGCTTGATGCTTGTTGAATCTTTGGTAAAAATAAAAAGTGCATGCTGTGAATACGTGTAGGAAAATAGCCATCCATTTTGAGGAGGAGATTGAATTTCTAGACTATGAGAAAAATGTAGAAGCCACATGATAAGTGTCTGTTAGTGCTGATTTACAGTGATTTCCAGAAAAAGCATGCCATTGTTTTCCATACTAGTAGGAATAAACTAAGTGATCAGAGTCTCAGTGACAAGATAAAAAATTCCAACACTGTGGAAATGGATAAGGACTTCAACCTTTTGGGGATCTTACATGATCAATGAGGCAGGACAACTAGACAGTTAAACTGTGGACTGTGGCGAGCCATGAAAGACAGGGTGAACTTGTAGAGATGGAGGGAGCTGAAGGAGTGGCTGCAGTGTGTGCTGCTACTGAAAGTAGATTGAAAGTTTTCAGAAGAGATTCAATATCCTTTTAACCCCCAAAATCACATTGAAATGTGATCCTGTTCACTGACATCACTGTTAAAATCAAGAACACCCTAACTGCATACACCGAAAGATTTTTATCCTCCACAGGTGTCACTGGATGCCCTGAAGGTGACTGTAATTCTGAGAGAGCATTACAGGGGATCCCTCAAACACTGTCTCGGAAAGATTCGAGTTGATCATTAATTGATCTAGTTCAGTGGTACTTCTCAGATTTAAAACCATGTAAACATACGCAGTCCTCACTGAAAATTATTATAAGGCATTCAGAAAACTCTCTTTAAATAACAAACAGCTGTGGTGCAGGTGCAAATTGGAAAAAGGTGAAACAGTCACACACAGCAGACTTCAAAACCGCTTTACTCAGGCTGTGGTTTCAGATCTGGAAAGGCTGTTGCTGGTATAGCCTGTGGACCTTTGCTGTGTGTAGGAAAGGCCAGCCATTTAGTGCATGAAATTACTTGAGCAGAATTCTTCCAGCTAGCTACTGTTATTCATTTCTGCGTCCTCCTCTTGCCAGTTTATGTAGCCTGTTTGTCCTCATATCCGTGCTTCAGAGGGAATCCTTCTACCTCCTCTTGTAGGAGCTGAATTCATTGAGAGATTCACTACGGAATAGTAATTTTCAAACAAGTTTGGTTTCTTTAATACTCATGAAAAATCTGATACAGATCGGCCAGTGGTTCAGTCACTGTCTTTGTCTAGTATATCACATTTCTTACAGTAGGTAAGAGCTGCATTGCCACTGGATTCCAAGAGAGAACTGTCGCCAAAACCCTTCTGTCTCTTCTTGAGCATGAGCATAGACTCTGCGTACCACTGTCGTCTTTTAAGTGACTCACTGCCTTCCTCCCTTTCCAGATGTAACATCTGCGACTTTCTTTCATAAATTAAACTCATTCCCCTAAAAATAACACAACTAGGCATTCACCTGCAATGAGATACCCTTTCACCAGGAGGAAGAAACAGCAGGTAACGTAACTGAAAAATGTAGTGTTCGTTGACAAGTCAACTTTATTATTTCTGAAATGCACAAAGTCACTTGCAGTTCTCCAGTAAAATGGCTTAAATCATACTGGAGTTTCAATATAGGTAGGTAACAACATACATTTTTAAGAAGTAGGAAGGAAAATATAATTACTGGTATGATATGATGCAAGGTTTTCATTCCATGGAAATGTGCGCTTGAGTTGGTCAGGTGCTTAGCCTAGGCTTAATGAATGAATCAGTCTGAAAAGCCCACATATTCTTAAGAAATAAGTATTAAATTGCCCTCTAAAGAGGTTTTTATTTTGTGAGGTAGGTTTGGCATTGGGAACATCGTGGCATCAGCTGCAGGGTGAGTGCAGTGACAGCTATTTCTGAGTCACTGCCTGCGTTATCAGGGATGCAGGGTTGTTTACCCCTCAGTGAAAGATGTGCTGTTGAGCAAATTAGCAAACGGCACTTCAAGGGCTGCTGTAACCCCACTGTTCCCATAGCTCTGTGGTAATTATAACTGGGGCGATATTGCTGTTCTGTCCCCATTGCCACAAGTTCCCATCTGTCTTGTGTCTGATGCCTCTGTGCAGGAGAACATGCTTGTAAGTTTTCTTCATTCAAAAAAGGAAGATTTTAGCCTTTCAACTGTAGAGCTGTGCTGTTACATTAATTGCTTTTTTTCAAAGGGACTAGACATGATGTAAGATAACTTATACTTGAATATTACTCAATATCTATTGTTGAATATGCTGTATTATTGAAATGAAAGGATCTTTTAAAATACATATATATATATAAGAGTATTGTTGTAATGAATCACAGCAGAATAAGAAGATGGCATGGTAGGGTTTCGTTAATTTGTATTTCGATTTCATTTTAATTTCATGATGCTAGTTTCAGCTTTAAGAAGTTTGAAAAATACAAATTTAAAGCATTATGTCATATCTGTGACTTTATGAACCTGTAAGTTGGTATACAGTACTTAATTTTACAAATAACAAATAGGACTGTTGTGGTTTAAGTCCAGAGGGCAACTGAGCACCATGCAGCTGCTCACTCACTCCTTTCCCCTCAGGGATGGGAAGGAGAAAATGAAACAAAAGGTTTGGGCATGGAGATAAGGGGGTGGTGGGGGGGGAATGACTCACCCATTATGGCCAAGGGCAAAAGGCAGACTCGTTAGGGAAGAAAAAAACCTCAATTTAATTCAAACACCACCACCACCACTCAACAAACAAAGTAGGATAGTGAGAAGTACTGCCACATCTTAAAAACATCTTCCCCCCACCCCTCCCTTCTTCCTGGACTCAGTTTCGGTCCTGATTTCTCTACCTTCTCACGCCCAGCAGCCCAGGGAGCGGGGAAGGAGCATTACAGTCAGTCCCACAGCTCCTTCCCCCTCGGAGGGAGGACTCCTCACACTGTTCCCCTGCTCCAGCATTGGGTCCCTCTCACGGCAGACAGCTCTCCGTGAACTTTCTCCAGCAGGAGTCCTTCCCACGGACCGCAGATCTTCCACAGATCGCTCCAGCGTGGGTCCCTTCCATGGGGTGCAATCCTCCCAAACATGAACTACAACAGCAGGGTCTCCACTCAGAGTCCCAGCTTTTGTTGGGCACAGTCACCTGCTCTGGCGTGGGGTCCTCCACGGGTCACAGCTGGGCATCTGCCCCACCGTTAACCTCCCCGGGCCGCAGGTGGGCACCTGCCCCACCGTTAACCCCCCCGGGCTGCAGGTGGGCATCTACTTAAATACGTTATCACAAAGGTGCAGCCGCTGTTGCTGATGGGCTCAGCCCTGGCCAGAGGTGGGTCTGACTTGGAGTTGGGGGAGCCCTGAGAAGTTTCTCACGGGGGCCACTGCTGTAGCCCCCTCCCCTGCCACCACAAACCTCACCAAACACACAAACCCAACGCAGGAACGAAGTTAGGCACTTTTTCAGAAAGGTATTGCTAGTAATGCCTTAAACACACTTAAGTTACCCACTCTGATAAGCCATGTTCAGTGAATTGAGTGTTGATATAGAATTTTAGTGCATGTAAAAAGATAATAGTAAAAGTTTCTAAGCACTAGTCTGTGTTGTGTAGCTTGCTTGCTTTGTCTTCTTGGAAGTAAATTAAAATGTTAATGATCAATCATAAGAAAGCTACTTTTCCTGTACCACTGAAAGCAAGGTATTAATTTAGTTGATTCTAGACCAGCTAGTCATTGTCGATGACAAGGAAATAAAAAGAAAAAGGAGAAAAGAAAGGAATGGAAAGTCATTTAATTTAATAAATTTTTAATGTTTGTTATCTTGTTATTGTGAATGCAAAATGGTAATAGAGTAATTTTAAATAACTGCAAAAACATTTGAAATTTTGCTTATATGAAAGGGGATGCTGAGAAATTTGAAAAATTAAAAAGATACTTTTTATCTTTTTGGCAAATTATCATTGAAAAAAGAAATGTTATTATAGCTGATTAGAACAAAGCATGAAATACTTTTTTAACTGTACAGAAATGAACTGATTTGCCTTTTCAGAGTAAGTTCATATTCAGGAACTATGCCATGTGACTCCCCATAGTAAATCTAGTAAATAATTTATTTTATGTTTCTGCATTCATTGTGGAAGAAAGGGTTTTCCCACATTTATGAAAGACTCATTACAGCATTTATCTTGAGGTGAAGTGTGAGGAGGAGAGGTCAAGGAACAGGTAGACTAAATAAAAGAAGTCGTAATAAATCCTGGTATCTGTGTGTTCAGCAGAGAGATTTAGAGAAACTCGGGAATGAAACAGGTGAAATGCTGCTGCTGTCGCTTAGGTGGAATCTCCCCAAGGGTTGTGCTGGTGCTGCAGGACAGGAGGGAGGCGACTGCGAGGCCAGTTTTGGCAGAGCTCCCGGGCAGACCAGAAGACTGCCGCCTTGGAATCCCCGTGTCTGTTTTGGGCACATTAGTGGAAGTAGAATATAAGATCACTGCACATGTGGGTGAGGGTGAGGTATGGAGGAAAAGTCAAGACGGCTTTTGTAGAGAAAAAACTAAGAATTCTCTGAAGGTTTCAGCCATCCTGTGGGTGAGAATGATCCACTTGATATGGCCTGCCTGGATTTCTGGAAGGCGAAGATCCCTCACAGAGGGGTCTCGAAGAAAGTAAGCGGTCATGGGACAGGACAAATGTCTGCATGATCAACTATTTTTAATTTGATTAGTTTTCCTCATTTAGATTTTTTTTTTTTTTTTAAATCCCTCTTATGTCCCCTTAATTTTCTTCTATGCTTGGATTATTTTTAAAGTAGCTTTCTGCAATACTCCAAAAAGTAAAGATTTGAGTGAAAGGTTCTTATCAACCATAAAATATGTACAAGTCCCAGAAACAGTAATTTGTTGTTGGAGTGTGTTCCACTAATCTTCACTGTTATTCACAGAAGTGCTTTAGTGTTGCATAGTACACCACAGCATGGAGATCTGTCAGCTTTTACAGTGAGCTTTATGTTACCAAAAGTAAATCTGTAAATAAATTTGATTTGTTTTGTGAGATATTTTTAGATCTCTATTCATGTATAAAATAAAGCCTGAGTATGCAAGTATACAGATGGTAGTTTATGTATATTTCTAGAAGATGAAAAGAATGCTGAAAGAGTAATTTTACTGGAATTCATAAGGTGCAGGTTTGCTGGTTTTTTTCTCGCTTTACTGTAGCCAGATATATTTGTTTATGAAATGACATTGAGGGTAGGGCCAATTGTTACTGTAAAATTCACAGCAGGCATTTTCCTTGCTTCTTCATAAAAATGTTTCTGGCTCGTGTTTGAAAATAACAACTCTGTTTACTGCTACATCTTGCCGTGTAGCTTGGGCCCCAGGTTTTCATGTAGCCCCATGCTTTCTTGTTGACCATTTTTTAAAAAAGGCAAAACCATCAGATTTAGGTAATTTAAGGTATTTTAAATCTGGCCAGCTGGCACATCCATTTTTCCTTGCTGTTTCCTGTATCGCACCGAGGAAATATTATTTACTGATGGTCTTCCAGTTCCTCCTGGGCCGCATTTTGTTCCTTTCTGTTTACTCTGTTCTTCTGCACTGGAAGCTGAAACAATTAAAATACCATATTGCATATGCTGTTGGATTTCTGTACCACTTGAACGGAAAAAGTACATCTGGGGAGTCGTCCTTTCGATGTGCTGCTGTTAGATACCAGAAACAAGCACATGAAGAATGCAAATGTGAATCTATAGATGAGGAAAGTTAGCTGAAACCAGCAGAGGAAGTTGTTGTCAAAATGTCACCTTCCCCTTGATGTTAAGAGAAAAACAAACTTTGAAGAAGTTATGCTGGAAGATGTGAGGTGACTGGTCTGGGTGGCCACTACTGTTCTGAATCCGATGAATTTTGCCCTGCTGGAAGGGATGTAGGCTTGCCAAAGGAAGATGGACTGGTTGTACTGCAACAGCTCTCAGTATTTCAGCACACAGCCTCAGACCAAAGTGCCACGCTACTTTGGAGACTACCCAAGGAAAAAGGATGCAGGAGGATGGCAGAGGAACTGATAGCACACCAGACAGATAAGGTACAGAGCTTTATCTGTTAGGCGTTGAGTAAGAATTGCCTTGTGTATGTGCAGTGTCGTTCTTCGAACAGCAGTTGTTATGAGCTAAGGGATGAGCTTCTGCAACTGGTTTCTCTCAACCAGATAGCAAGCAACCTTATGCCCCCAAATAACTTCCAGAATTTGCTCATGGCGTGGGCTGCAATCCATACAGGAGTAGGCATAGCTGCAAAGGCTTAGCTTTGCAGGATCGTTGGGAGAGTTCATTCAAACTTTAAACCACACTTGGTATGACGGAGCATGACTCATACAGGTCCTTGGGTAGAATAGCTGCCAGAAAAAATTTGGTTTTATTTACAGCACAACCAAGGAAAACTCAGAATTGCTGATGAAACAGAGGAAATACCAAGACTTGAAAATAAATCTCTTGTTGAGTCCTTGCAGAGTTTCCACCAGCCTCCTTCTAGAAGGCGCTTCTAGTTCAAAAGCTGCTAGTGGCTTCCAGCTTTGAAACAACCTCAGCAAGTCTCTTCTGGGCCTCTAGGAAATACTTCCCTCACCTTCACGCCTGGTTGACAGTCTACTCTGCAGAAGTCAGTTGCACTGCAGCAAATTAGTAACCTGCTGCTTCATGTTCTCTCCGTGCTTGGTCCATCTTGTCTTCTGAAAGGTTCCTGCCGCTGCACCTTTCAGTGTCTCTCTTTTGGCTGGATCCGCTTGGCTCAGGGTGCAGCATCTGGAGAATAACATTCGGCTTTTCTTTCTTCCCTTCCAGTTACACCCCTTGGAAAAAAACAATTATTTTTTAATACTGAGGTTGTAAACTGCAAGTAAACAAGTTCTGCAATGGCACAAACAGAATAAATAAGGCACTTTGCTGTAGGAAGACCCTGATTCATCAGAGCATGGCAGTGTATTTAGCACCTGTTCTGTGGATCCTTGGCAGAGGACATAGCACTTGCACGGTGCGAAGCTGCGCTGGATGTGGCAGTGCCAGTTCTGCTGAATACAGCTGTGAGGCTGTCATGGGGAGGGTGACCATTTTAGGGTGTGTCTTGGAGGCCTTGCCAAATCAGGATTGAAAAGGAAATTGGCTTCCTTTGGCTTATTAATAACAGCAGTGTGCTACTAAAAAATTAAAAACATATTTCATAGCGTTTCTTACTACAAGTGGCTGAAAAGATACAGAAGTCTTTTTTTTTTTTTTTTTTGCCATTATCTTCAAAGTTATATAATGTAAATGGTGGGAACAGCAACTCTAGTGTGAAAAAGAAGTATATATTCCTTAATCTTTGCTAGTATCATGCAGAAAGAGTTTTTAAGCAGTAAAAAAATTTCACCAAGAGGAATGAAACAGGAGCCAAAAATGAAAAGCATCCTGTTACACTCAAGATGTCAATTCTAAATTCTGTCTCCTTTTCCAGGAATTACGGTTCCTGTACGCTAACTGGTCAGCATTATGTGGCTGTATTGCTGAGGCTTCAGTGATAAATAATAAATTATGATCTCGTGAATTACATGGTAAAATTTTTCAATTATTATATACTCAGGAAAGGGTGCGTCTTTGAAATTACCTTTTGGTTTCCTTTAATTTTATCTCTGAGCAGCAACACAATCTTCATTGTCAACATGTTTTTATGATGGATAGATGTGTTAATCCACGTTTAAAATGTGAGTTTCAAAATTGCTTAAATTAAAGGCATGGGGTATATTGATAATCTGTGCTGGAAATTATCAAGAAGGATTTTAGGTAAAGTCACAAGCCATTTCCAAATTTCTGAAAATCTTGGAAGTTATTTAAGTGCGGTAATCATGGAGGAGATTTAATTCATCCATAGCCTATTTGCCATTAGAAATAACGCTGCCAAAACCAACCAGCTGCCATTTTGGTACTTGTTTTTACAGTGTATTTCATTTGTCTTCACACGTACAAATGTGCTTGGCATCCGCGTGTAAACTGGGATTCCAAAACAATAGAAGCAAAATGTGGATTTGGGCAGAATTAGATCCGTTGGAGACCCTCGACGTGCGAGGCTTTTAGATCGCGGTGAGTCTGCAGCTGGCCCCACGAGGGGACCGAGGGGCCCGGCCGTCCCTGTGCTGAAGGACACCTGCCAGATGTTTCCTCCGGATCGTGCGCCCCGCGAGAGGAGGAGGGGGCACAGCAGCCCTGGTGCAGGCGCCTGGGGTGAGGGAGGTCGCCCGGTGAAGTCTGGAGCGCGCGTCAGTGATTATCAAATTGCTCCCTTCTGGCGCGGGTTAGCTTCACCTGGCAAGGCTGCCAGGGCTCCGGCTCCGAAACACCCTCATGCTGCTGACAGGCGTTTTGCCCTGGGGGTGGGAGGGCAGAGGAGGTCTCTGTGGGCACAGCGCTGTCTGGGACGCGGGTGGTTCACGCGGCGCATCCTCCAGCTGTCCCGTTTGAGCAGAGGGGCTGCTGGAGCTGGCCCCCTGTGCCGGCGGCGCGGGTGGCGAGCCCCGAGAGGGGATTCGGCCCGAGCTGCCTCCAGCCCACCGTGCGGCCCGTGAAAACAGGCGCGGGGGGAAAAGAGTGCTTTGTGTGCAAAGACTCTCCCGCCGGGTACCAAAGGATGGTCTAACCGGGGCCCGTGGTGCCTCTGCCCGAATGCAGCTCGGGAGGGAACGAGCCACGGCCGGAGGCTGAAGGCAACCTGTTGTGTGTAGGGGGCTCTCTGCATCAGAAGAGGGTACCCCCGGCCCGAGGGGCTGCGCTGGAGCAGGGACACGCCTGAGGGCACTGCAGCCCACCGAGGCCCCGGGCTGCCGCAGGGGCACGGAGGAAAAGGGCAGCCGAAACCGCTACGCACAGAGGAGCAGAGGTGCTTCAGTGCACGGTGGCAAAAAGAAACCACCACGGATGCCACCTCAACTTCCTGCACCACCTGGCACCTCGCCACAGGAATTTTGAAGGACTGAGTATAATCCACAGCAAAAATAAGGAAAATTGGGACCTGGAAATGAGGAGAATACCTGGTTGTGTAAGTGTTTGTCTCTGTGTTTATTTTCTTCTTTTTTTTTTTTTTTTGTTGTTGTTTTTTTGTTGTTGTTGTTGTTTTTTTTTTTTTCCCCCCAAAGCCGCAATCAGCAATGAGAGGTTTGTTTTTCTTTGCAATAAATTAGTGAAATTAAAATTCCATGACTGGACTGTTTTGCTCACAGCAGAGTCCCAAGAAAATAAAGGTGCCTCCTTACATCCTGGAGCTAAGCACCTGGTGGTTCTGAGTATGGAATGTAAGCAATACCTTTCCTGGGCATTTCCTACTTATGTGGCCTCCCCTTTTAGCTCTAATTTTTCTCAGTTGTATTTTTAGGATTGATTTTCTCTGTGCATTGCACACACAGTCTTAGTGCCTGTCCTCTTGGGATTGGCTTTCCCTAGGTGACAAGGCACTCAGAAGTCTGGTATTTACCATCCCAATCTTTTTGTGGATTAAGATTGCGTTTCTGCCTACATCCGTATATGCCTAAGTACCTCTGGAACCTGCCATAGAAAACACTTTGGAAATTGTACACACAGTAACGTGGAAAATGTTGTTTAGGAGTTTGCTAGATTTTCTTTTGTGGTTAGGCCTAATAATAAGTGTTCATGAATACATAAGTATGGCATCTATCTGCTGTACAGTAAGTTACTGGTTTTCTTCCAGATTAAGTTCCCCAAACTAAAAAGAATTGTTTTTCAAAACTCCGTTTTTCTTGTGTTTTTTTTTTTTTTTTGTTTGTTTGTTTGTTTTTGTTTTTTTTTGTTTTTTTGTTTTTTTTTTTTTTCCCAATGGGAGCGAAGTTTTTCACTTAGAACTTTCGATATTTAGTAGGTAGTGAATGCAATCATTAAAGAGCAATTGGGAGATTTCTGCAAGATACATGTTCTGTGAACAAGCAAAAGACCTGAGATAGAGATATAATGCAAATCATTCTCGCTCCCTTTTATTTAGAACATTGCAAGGAACAAAAGGTCTGCTTTATAAATGTAGTAACACTGTATACCCTCCAGACATCTGCCTGTTCTTTGATTTCTACCTAGGGTGAGTCAGCTTCCTCTGTCTTCAAGGCTAGGAAGTGAGCTGTTGAATGAACGGTGATGCTTACTGCTGCTCAGAAAAAAGGTGTTAAAACGTACAGCTTGCGTCATTAAAATTTATCACTGCTGTTTCACAAGGAGTAGGACAGATCTTTACTGTAGGTTCACTTTTCATGCATATGTGGATGAAATAAATTTCTTGAATTTTTTTCTGCTTGAATAAACGTTTCCCTCCATTTAAGCAGTCTCTTGTACGGGCCAAAGCAATAGTTATCTACCCCTACTCTTGACTAATCTAATGCAGAGATTGAGAGTTTTGATTAATTTTTGTTACTGTCTGGTCCTGCTCCTCACTGCTTTGTCTGACCCACTCTGAAGTGTTTATGAGCTTTTGACAGTCATAGTTGGGTGACTGATCCTTGATTTTTGATCCTTCTTGTGTGTGTTCACTAACATTTGAAGACATGTAGTATCTCTATGGTATCTGATAACATGTTGGAAAGTTACCATTGAAATACAGAAATAAATAAATTCTTGAATACTTAGTTGGTATTCTGTAAACGACTAAAATATCAGCAGGCAAAGTCTAAGGTAAAAACAATCAGTTTCACATTAACTAGAAGAGCACGGAGGAGCTATGCTGTCAGTGTGCTTCAGACTTGATCCTCTAACTTACGGGCAATGCTGGGCCTTAGAAATGCTTTTGATTTTGCTTTGGATTTGATGCTTTCAACCACAAGGTTTGACTCTAAACTGGGCAGCTGAACAGGAAATCTCTGTCTTTGGGGAAAGGAATGAGTGGATACCTTTCAAGCAGTATTCCCAAATATCTTCCCTGATGTGTCCCATGGATAGTTTGGAAGAAAGAAGAGATGTGAAGAGAGAGTTAGGTATGGTTCTGTTAAAATAAGATGAACATCTTCTCATCAAAAGTGGAATGAGATGTACTGGAGTTAAAGGGTTTATTGTTTAAAAGAATTATATTGAGCAAATGCCAGCATTGTAATACTTCACCATTGTTAAAGGCTGATAAAGTAATAACCATGTTAATTTAATCAAACAGATTCTTTGCAAAACGCTGCTTCTGTCTACTCGGCAGTGACCTTGAGATATGTAAAACTTAAAGCAAGAGTTAACAGGATCAGTCAGAAACAAACCTTGAAGTTGTATCAATTAATTAAGCAGCTCTGGCCGTGTATGTTGTTCTGTTCTGGTTTTACTCTACTGTTTTGCTGTTTGATGACTTGTGCCTATCTTACGGCTGTTCAAGAGACACATTTGGAAGGTGCAGTGAGCCTCATTTGCAAAATTGCTCACAGACAGCCTGCATATGCAAACTATAATCTGTGCATAACCATTAAGCACCCCTTAAATTCCTCGAAGGAATTTGTCTTTGCCAAATATGTGGTGAGCCTGTGCATTTAGGTGAGCTTTCAGACCCATACTCTGAAACCGTCGCGCGCAGCGAAGCGGCGCTTCCAGGCGCCTTTGGTGTTGTTTGGCGATGAAGGTGGCCGCTGGGTGCTAACCGCTCATCGCGGGGCCTCACCCTGGCCCTTGGCCAGTCCCGGCACCCGGGTGGACGTGTCCCATCACCACGGTCTGGAGGGCTGACCTGGGCCCTGGCAGCCCCCCCCCCAGGGCTGCCTCTCTCGCCGGAGCGGCTCCCGGGCACCTACAGCTTCTCCTCTGCAAAAAATCTACAGGAGGGAGTTTGTGCCCCAAGGCTGGGGAAGTGGCGAGG